CCGTCAAGCTCTCCTCTTCCGAAGACCCTCCACGCATGCAGCAGTGGTCCACAACGGCAACGTGCCCACCACCACCGAGATTTCCGGCGCACAACCAAGCCATAAAAACAGAAAAAAAGGAGTTAGTTTTTGAGTCCAACGGGGGGACTAAAACTAGCCGAAAATGAAGGGATTTGAAGCCAATAAATTCATGAGGGGTTTTTTCGAAAGGAGGAAGAAGCAAATACCAAAAACAGAGAAATAAAAGGAAAATATTCGGGTTCGAGAGAAAATAGAGAGAAGAGGGAAAAAATCTCACCGGAAAAAGGTTTGAATCCGGTCGGAAGGTAAAGAGTCGCCGGAGACAAAGAAAGCCGAAACTTCCCTTGTAGGTCTACGTGAATAGACTCATTTTTAGGCGAAGCTAACCTCAGATCTATAACCAGGGGGAGAAAGCGCTTCGAGTGGTCTATTTTTCTCACAACGCCGGCGCTGGCCACCGGTCAGCGGCGGCCGACGCGGTTGATGCGCTGGCGGATTCTGTAAACAAAGCTCGCCTGTTGAAAGCTCTTGAGAGCTTTCTCCTTTCTTTTTCTCTTTTGGTGAAGAAGAATGAGAGAATGGTTTGGTTTTAGCCATTTTCGGGGTATATAACCCATACGCTGAACGACGTCGTGTAGCAGGGAGGAGTCTACGTGTTTTTACAAAAAGGGTAAATATCATTTTAAGTCCCTGGACATTGTATGGTTTCGGTTTTAGTTATTAATGGATTTTCATTTCCTCTTTATTTGGACTTTATGTTTATTCTTTGTTACATTATAGTCCTAATCTCTATGTTGATATTTATGATATTCCATTTCGAACACTTTTTTATTTGTGTTTCATTTTAGTCACCATTCGGTATTTGATTAATTGCTTTGTGGTTCTGTATGTTTTACTTTTATTTTATTTTAGTCTTATTCATGCATATTTTGTTATTTTTATTAATATTTGACTTTGACCATTTTGTTTATAATATTTTCGATTTAATCCTTTGTATATACATTTTTTTACAATTAATTTCTTTTTTTCTTTTAATTATTTTATTTAATCTAATATATTTATATATTTTTTTATTATTTTTTCTATTTTTATTATATATATATATGTATTTATTTCTTTTGTTTATTTAATTTAACGTTAATATTTATTTATATATATATATATATATATATATATATTAGTTTATTTCTTTTGATTATTATTTTTAAACATTTTTTATTTATATATATAACCTTTTCATTTATTTATTTTTTTATTTTTTCACTTTTTCTTTATTCAACTTTTCAACTTTTTCATTTTAACCTTTTTGACTTTTTTTTATTTTTTGAATATAAAATTATTATTTTTTCCTAAACGTTTTTTTTCTTTTAAATTTAACTTTTTTTTATTTTATTTCTTTTTTTTAAAATTTAACATTTTTCTTCTTCTGTTTCGTCTTCCTTTAACATTTTATTCTTTTATTTTTTTCCTCCTCTGATTTTTTATATTATTTTATTTAATTAATTTTTGTTCGATATTCCTTTTATTTTATCATCTAATATATTTTTTATCTTTTTTTTAGTAGTAATTTCAATCGATCAAGAGTAAGCAATTCGAATCGATTTTTAAATTTTAATTTTCACAATTAAAAACAACCGGCAAATTAATTGGTACCGAAAGGACGGTTCAAGGGTGCTAATCCTTCCTTGACCGTAACCGACTCCCGAACCCGACACATTTCTGGTAAAACGCAGATCAGGTAAGATGTGTCTGATCTACCTAAATATCGTTTTAAAATGATCGGTGGCGACTCTAACCCAATTATTCAAGTCGAAGCCCAATTCGGGTCTAACTGAAAGACGGACGCGACAGCTATTATCCACCACCATCCTCTTGTAACTCTATCGTAACTTGTTTTAACTTACAAATTAATGGCACTTTGCTTTTCTGCATCCATGTATGCATTGCTATAATAACGTTGCAAAGATTTAAAGAACTCATGCGACTGAGTTGCTGCTTGCCATTGACCTCTCCTTTGGCAAATATCTGTTTGTGTAAAAATAATGCCTCGTACTAATTATTATTCAGCTAAACTACAATATATAGTACATTGTACAAGCAATAATACAAGAGCTAAAAATAGTTGCTTCTAACTAACTCTCTAACAGCCTAACAACAAACTTATAACAAACTAACTAATCATTTGTTATCTTAACACTCCCCCTCAAGTTGGTGGGTGAAAAACATTTGTAACCCCCAACTTGGCTATCAAATATTCATGTTGTTGAGCTCCGAGTGCCTTTGTCAAAATGTCTGCAGGTTGCTCCTTTGAGGTTACGTTTTCAGTAGTGATAAACCCTTTTGAATCTTGTCTCTAACAAAATGCCAATCGATCTCAATGTGCTTCGTCCTTTCATGGAAGACTGGATTCGAAGCAATCTGTAATGCTGCTTTGCTGTCACAAAACAGCTTGATAGGCTGGTTTTGTTTCACTCCTAGCTCATTTAGCAACCCACTTAGCCAAACTAACTCTGTTGTGGTCATAGCCATACTTCTATACTCAGCTTCTGCTGAAGAACGAGCCACTGTGTTATGCTTTTTTGACTTCCATGAGACCAAAGAATTGCCAAGTTTTATACAGTACCCTGTTACAATTTCCTTGACATCAGACAAGTTGCCCAATCTGAATCATAGTAAGCAATCAAGCCACACGTACTAGAGGAGTCTAGCAAAATTCCTTGCCCTGGATTCTTCTTAACATACCGCACAATTCTCAGGGTTGTTTCTATATGCACCTTTCCAGGTTGATGCATAAACTGACTTAGATGTTGTATTGAATATGCTATGTCAGGCCTAGTGTGAGTCAAGTAAATAAGTCTGCCTATTAGCCTTTGAAATTGTGTCTTGTCAACCATATCCAGTCCAAGAAAGTACCTCAGTTCACCCAAATCTTTCATCTTAAACTTGGAATTCAATATACACTTGAGCTCTTCTATCATAGTAGCATCACTGCCAGTAATCAGTAAATCATCTATATACACAAGCACAATCACCAACTTGCTTGCTACTCGCCTTGTAAGCATCGAGTAATCATGCCTACTTTGTTGAAACCCTGTTGATGTAAGTGCTTCAGACAGCTTCTTATTCCATTGTCTAGAAGCCTGCTTGAGCCCATACAAAGACTTTTGCAGCCTACAAACCATATGCTCCCCCTGGCTGGAAAAGCCTTCAGGCAACTGCATATAGACTTCTTCAATCAAATCTCCTTGCAAGAATGCATTGTGAACATCCATTTGCGACAATGGCCAATCAAAGATTGAAGCAAGAGCCAAAACCAATCTCACAGTGGTAAGTTTAGCAACAGGAGAAAAAGTATCCACATAGTCAACACCCTCTTTTTGATTGTACCCTTTGGCCACCAACCGAGCCTTAAACCGTTCCACCTCACCCGAAGCACGATACTTGATTTTATACACCCATTTGCAGCCAATGGGAATTTTACCAGAAGGTAAAGGTACCACAGTCCAAGTATTATTTAACTCCAATGCTTGAATCTCCTCCCTCATGGCCTTCTGCCATTGCGGATGTTGACAAGCTTCTTGATAAGTGGTGGGTTCAGGAAAATAAGAAATAGAAGCCAAAAAATGTTGAGTATGTGAGGGTAAATGAGAGTAAGAAATGTACTTGGAAATGGGGTAATTAGTAGAGGATGAAGTGGATTGGCAAAAACATACATAATCATTTAACCATGTTGGAGGCTTGGAGACACGAGAAGAACACCTAAACACAAAATAATCATGTGCTAAAGGAGGAATATCAGCTTCAGAAGGACTTGATGAAGAGTCAAATGGACTACCAGATGCACCTATTGAGACATCAGATGGAGAAATGGAGGGAATAGTGAAGAACCAAGAGGTAGTGAAGAACTGGAAGAATTAATAGGTGACATAGTAGGAATTTCATGCGAAGAACTTAAAGAATTATCAACATGAGAAGAATCAATAGGTAGTGAAGAATCAAGAATCATAAAATCAGAGTTAGGAATATGAGAATGTGAAGGGGAAAAGGAGAGGATTCTGAAACAGGAAAATGAAAGGGAAAAATTACTTCATGAAACACGACATCCCTACTCACAAGAAACTGTTGTGATTGAAGACTAAACAAAATGTACCCATTTTAAGTTGAAGAATATCCCATGAAAACACAAGGGATAGCCTTAGGAGAGAATTTGTCTCTATAGTTAAGCTTGGTAGCATAACATAAACACCCAAATACCCTTAGATGAGAAAGGTCAAGAGATTTATGGTAAAGAGCCTCGAAAAGAGTTCTGAATTTAAAACAGAAGAAGGTATGTGATTTATTATATACAAGCTGTTGTAATACACTCACCCCAAAATTTGATAGGAACTTTTGAGTGAAACCGAAGTGCCCTTGCAACTTCAAGAATATGTTTGTGTTTGCGTTCAGCAACCCCGTTTTGTTGGGAAGCCTGAACACATGAGCTTTGATGAAGAATACCTAAGGAGCTAAAAAGATTAGAACACTGAGAATTAAAAAATTAGTGTCATTATCACTGCGAATGATTTGAACAATGGCTGAAAATTGGGTTTTGACAAAAGTGATAATTTTTTAAGAGAAATAACATGTCATTCTTCAATCTCAACGAGTGCACCCAAGTCATACGGGTAAAATCATCAACTATGGTTAAAAAATACCTATGACCACTATGTGTTGCAATTCGATAGGGACCCCACAAGTCTATATGAATTAGGTTAAAAGGAACTTGTGAATAGGTAAGACTAACAGGAAATGGAAGCCTAGTTTGTTTTGTTAAAGGACATATAGATAAGAATGCAATAGTTTGGAATCCAAGTTAACAGAATGCAACAAGGGTAATTTATTCATGGTCGAAATAGCAGCATGTCCTAAACGAGAATGTCAAATGCTTGTTTTATTGCTAGAAGTAGTAGTCATACATTCATATACATGACCACAATCAAACAATTTTGAATCACAAGACATATTAGAGAAAAAAACAGGAGACTGCACATTTGAAGAATTATGTGTAGACGAAAAATCAGTAGGTAAAGCAGATGACTGAAAAAAATAAAGCCCTCTATACTCCTTACCAATCCCCTTCATCCTTCCACTTGAGAGGTCCTGCAGAATGCAAAAGTCAGGAAAAAACTGACAAAACAGTGAAGGTCATGGGTAAGCTTCGAAATGGAAAGCAAATTGTGAGTAAAATTTGGCACATATGATACATTAGACAGGTTTGTATTTGAATTTAGAAAGCAAGAACCAATATATGTGATCAGTATTGTTTTACCATTTGGTAGTAGAATGGACCGTGAGGAACATAAGACAGGAGACAACAAGCATTGAAAATCAGATAGTATATGATCTGTGGCACCTGTATCTAAAATCCAAGTCAATGATTTATTAGAGGCATGAAGATTACCATTAACAATACCTGCCAGATTAACAGTGGAATCAATAGATGGAGCAGAGGACAACAAGGGAAGGATCTGGTTGTACTGCTCCTGGGTGAAGGAAAGTGCCAGAGGAGCCGAAGAATTCAACTTGCCAAGGGCATTAGTAAGGTCAACACAACAACAGGTTCAGGTACAGCGGCAGATTCAGAGACAGCTACTGCAGCTTGAGCATTCCTTCGTTTGGAGAACTTAAAGTCTGGTGGAAATCCTATGAGACGGTAGCAACTATCCCTCTCGTGTCCCTTGACCTTGCAATAGTCACAAATACCTTGAAACTGGCGACGATCAAGAATCCCAGAACCTTTGGAATAAAACACCGAGGAATCAGGACTTGGCATAACAGATAGTTGGATTCGTTGAGACTCCTCTTGAGCAACCATGGAATACGCCTGGTTAACCGAAGGAAGAGGCTGCATCAGCAGGATTTGGCTTCGAATCGACGAATATGTCTCATTCAAGCCCATGAGAAACAGAAAAAGCTGTTGTTGAGTAACATGCCTGGAGTACTGCTGCGAATTCACACACTCACAGGATGCAATCGGCACAAGAGCAACATACTCATCCCATAACATCTTCAATTTAGTGAAGTAAGTTGAAACGCTCAACTCACCTTGAGAAATTGTAGCTATTTCTCGATGGAGGAAAAAAATTCTGAAGCCATTCACCTTATCAAAGTGCTCCATCAGATCGTCCCAAACTGAAGCCGCATTTGAAGCGAAGACGATGCTTGCCGAGAGCTCTTTACTCACGGCGTTGAGAATCCAGGATAGCAAGATTGCATTACACCTCTCCCATTGAGGATGCAAGTCAGGACCGTAACTGTCTTTCTGGAAAGAACCATCAACGAAGCCGAGTTTGTTCTTCGCCAAAAGTACTATTCGCATCGACCTGCTCCAAACATTATAGTTCTCCAATCCGACTAATTGATGAGAGATGAGCAGAGTACCTGGAGTATCTGATGGATGTAAGAAAAATGGATGATTGAAATCAACCACGGCCGAATCGTTTATTGGAGGCATTGCAGTGAAGATAGTCGAGCGAAATCCCTAGGAAAGAAATTTGGGGAGAACGAAGAAGAGAAGAGCTGATGTGAGGATGATACCGAGCCACACTACTTAGTTTTAGAAGTAGGCCAAGCAGAGGGATCCAACAAGAAAGGGCCTGGAAATTTTAATGAAACCTGGGAATGATACCATGTAAAAATAATGCCTCATACTAATTATTATTCAGCTAAACTGATATATAGTACAATGTACAAGCAATAATACAAGAGCTAAAAATAACTGCTTCTAACTAACTCTCTAACAGCCTAACAACAAACTTATAACAAACTAACTAATCATTTGCTATCTTAACAGTTTGACATGGCCAATGCGGATTAATGAAATGTACCCGGGCATAATACTTTAAGATTTCACTGAAAGCCACCCATGTTACTACAAGGTTTCAGGTTTGCTATGCCATCTAAAGAACCTAAAAATAATTTGAGGGCCATGGATAGAGCATTTATTAAATTTGATAAAAGTTTTTTATGTATTAATTCATCAATTTCTTTGGGGATGATTACAAAAACTCCCTAAATCTCCCAGAAGGATTACCTTGTTGTGTGCTGCAGAGCCACCATATTGTAGAGCAAGTGTGTCACCCATTTTTTCATAAACTACCATTAAATCCTCCGCCAAAGCACTATTTTGATCAATAGTTTGGGATTCTGTGAACCCCATAGCATGGAGCTGGCGTTCAAGAGCCATCAAACCATAAGAATATTGGGCAACATTAGTGCGATCTAGGCAGTCGATGCAGTTGGTTCTAAGGACTCCATTCTGGAACATGAGGCGCTTTACATTTTCAATAGAATTCTGTTTACATCACTTCTGTTGGAATGGATCTGAACAAGGTGCTCATCATTTTTCCTGAAAAACAATTGAAACCAAAGTAGTATAAATTATTAAACACGAGTGACTAGAAAAAGCATTAGCAAAACAAAAATAAAAGAAGGCTCTATTTTCAAGGAAAAAGCAAATGCAATAGAGAACACATAGCACTATAAGAAACATAAGCAAAATGATTCATTCCGGCGATAATTGAGAAAATTCAAGAAAGGGCAGTGCAAACATATATTCTTTTATCAAATAACTAGTAGTAATTAGCAAAAGAGATTAAGAATTTTACATGTTTACATTTGAACAATAAACTGGACTTATTAACAAAGACAAACAACCCAGCATCATAAAAATATGATCAAATCATATATATTACTTAAAACAAGCAAGATAAATTCAACAACCCCTCAGGTATGCGATTTGGTGTTACTTGACAGTAAAAGATGCCTGTTAAATTTAATGCATAATCAGCCACTTTGTCTAGAAGTTCCAACACATTTGTAGATCTGCAAAAAAATGAAAAGCTCTATTCAATTAACCATCTTTTAAAAGATCAGTAAGAATACGCTATCAAGTCAAGTAGGGACAAAGAAGTACTTTATGGAGTGTCTATTTAGGTTCCAGTGAAGAAACCGTAGACGCTTCTCCTTGGATAAAATTTTATTGATAAATCTGATGGAATTTGCAAACTCCATACGAAGAATAGTTTCCCGAGGTTTCTTCTCACATCTCTGTTAATCACCAGAATAGAAAGCAGAATAAATCAGGAAACATCAAAGATAGAAGAAATCACAAAGTTTATGGAAACTGACAGTCAGCCAAGGCCTACCTTTATCAAATTCAATATGATTATTGGATTTCCATATCTCCTTGCAAGATTTTCAAAATGTAGTTTTGTGGCCTCATAATTTGGATCCTTTTTTGATACTGGAAACAGGAGGTGAAATTAAGAAAATATACCGTAATTACCACGTAAAAGTACAGATTTATGGCTCTCATTTTGTTATTAAGAAATAATAATACATATAATGTCAGGTTTCAAATTCAAGCGTGAAGTTTCCTGGGACCAGAAAAGGGGGATAGAGCCTCTATTCTGGACAACAGAACTTATTTGTGTGGGGCATCCTTCGGGAACATCTTCAAACACAATTTGTTCTGTCTCGACATCATTTGCTACTCTACCTTTCTCATTCACACCACGTTTTAGATATCTATGCAATAGAGCAGACATAAGAAAGTGAGCCATGTATGAATAAAGATCAGCAACAAAAGTTGGTGAAAGAAAAGTTTGCCTATCAATAGCTAATTTTCCTAATAAATTGTGGACCAAAATAAATAGTAAAGGGGGTTCTAATTAGTGCAGCAGACATTACAATCAATAGCTTGTAAAGCATCTAAACCTTGTTCCAGCATAATGTCGAGAACACCTTGCAATGAGCGTTAACTTGATGTCCCTGCCAGAGACAGATAGTTTGACCTGGATAGCACAGTGGGAAATACAAATGTCAAATCAAAATTTTAAAGCCATGCCTCAAAAGGAAACATCAATATTTGCAAACATGTTCGGCATAAGATGAAAGTATGAACCTGCATTATTTAATAGCTTTAGTTACTTCATTTTAACATTTCAACAACAACTTTGTAAAGGGGTTAGTTTTGCATGATTCTTAAGATTATCGACAAAATAATTCCTTTCAATAAAATAGAATTGAAGAAATTACAAAGCTGACAGGCATCCTAATATTGACGATGATAAATCTAAATTCCTGTAAGCAACAAGTTTTTAGCATGAACCAAATACAGAAACTGAATGAAAATAAAATTAACTACAACTTAACAATCTTCTTGCAGATCCTTCCATTTTCACCAACCATGCAAAATCAATGAATATGAAAGAGTGTATCATACCTGCTTGAAAAAGCCATATACCAGTGCGACAGTCCACAGAGTATTCTTGAGATTATTCCGGATTCCTCGAGCAAGAACTCATTCCATACAAACATTGTTTCATAATGTACTAATACTGTCTCATTCTTACATAAATTTATTTGGAGGCTATGCATTACGTTGTATGAGTAGCTGAAAAAGAAGTCCTTTGTAAGATCCACTGTGCAAAGGAGCTTCTTGTATCTATTCAACAAGGACAAAGAAGAAAGGAATTCCACGTTAATAAATGTTAGTTACTAGATGAACTAAAAACAATAAAAAGAATGTTAACTATAAGTTATAACCACGAAACTAAAGAGAAAGATAGTAATCTCCCCCCAGAAACCCTGATGATACCTTCTCTCATTCAACAGTAATATTAACATCACACAGCAAGATGTTAACCCCTGTACATAGCAAGAAATGAACTGGTAATAGCCTCCACAAATAGTACTAATTAAGAAGATGCTACAATAAACTGGTCAAAGCTGACTTTATTGGCTCAACTGGATATAAAGGGAGGCAATATATTTAACCAAGAAAGTGGTTAATTCCAACCGCATCAGCCAACATCAATGATACAACATGAAGGGTACAACAAAAGCAGTACAGAGATTACCTCCACACCATGGAACTACTCTTCTACTTTAAAGAGAGAACTCCAGAACTCAAATTTTTGCCCCAAAAAACATAATTAATTGGGAAGAAGATAAAACAAACACAACTCGACACAATTCTATTTAAATACAAATGGAAAATGAATACTTTAAGTGCTAATTTCATATGTTTTCTTATAAGTACTAAGGACAGATTACATTTACAAGCAGAATTGACAAAAGACCTTTTTTCATTCTTAGAATAACCCATATTTGACTGGACAGAAGAACTGTTATAATCTCGCTCTTGGTAATGGAATAGATACTATGGTCACAAATTGCACCAATCTTCCTTCTTTTCGTGATCAGCAGCATGTAATAAGGTCCCAAAAATTTCACAAACCCTAAATTAATGAGAGAGATTCATTAGATCATGCAAAAATGAATGACAGTGAAAGGGTGGAGAATCTGAGTAATATTACATACCAATGATTCCATAGCAAGCTGTAACAAATTTAAGTCCACCTGTGGACCTGTTTCCGTCATGTATCCGTCTTAACAAATCAGAACATTCAATTTCTGAATATAGTGAGTCTTCAATAATATTAAGTTCAGAAGGTTCTAATCGATCAACCTTTAATACCCTCCAAACGATTCCGTTCTTGTCTTTTCCAATCATATATAAATGCTGTCACAAAAGAAATATACAAATGGTGCATTAGTATTGTGTAATGGAGATGGAAGTGGTGTAATTATAATGCAAATAATTTTGGGAAAGAATAAAACAAAAGGAGCAACAATATTTTATCAGCATCATGTAGAAAAACAGAAAAAATATATTTATAGATGTAGAACTTGCTCTGAGCACAGTGACTATTTCAATACCTAACAAGGAAGGTTTGTGTAGCTCCAAAGCACATTAACAATCACTTACCATGACCTCAAGAGCAATGAATAGCATTATGAGATAAAAGAACACTCTAACACTTCATAGGAGATCATTTCAGCTAAAGAGAATTGTACACAAAAGAAAATCCAAACAGGAGTAAACTGATAGCTACAAACCTATTATTACATGAACACTTTATCCTGCTAAGCTGAATATAGAACACTAGAATGTTCCGAGTATTGTATTGTAGATGTATAAAACTTCTAATATTTAAATAGGTGAACCACTGCTTATAATAACAAGCAAAAATAAATTGACGATGGAAGTTAAACTGCATAATCAGACTTCTTATTGAGAATTACCGGTTTAATAAGCATTCATAAGCTAAAAAATCCAAGTCAACACACACAAATACGATATCAGAAATTAGTATATCAAGATTTAGGAAATCACAGAGCAGCTATCAGCTAAATCTAAAAATCATCATAATTTCATAAATACTCAAATTATATACACGTATATATAAAGAATTGGTTAATAAATCGCCAAAAGGATTAAACAGCCGGAGAAAAGCAAAAAAAGCCAAAAAGATCAGAAGAGCTTTAACCTGTTCAAGTCAAAAAGCTTAAACGAAGTCCAAACTGCCGTATGCACAAGCTTACGAAAACATGAAACAAAACGAATACATATACGAGTGGGAGAGAGAAAAAAATACCGAGCGAGTCTCGTAGAGTCTGAATTTCTGCAAATAACAAGGATTCGGATTGATTCCACCATCACTGCGATTCTCGGCTGCCATTAGCTTTTTCGGATT